AGCTCACTTGGTAGCCCAGGCTGGCCTCGAACTCACAGAGATCCGCCTGGCTCTGCCTCCCGAGTGCTGGGATTAAAGGCATGCGCCACCAACGCCCGGCACTAAAATACATTTTCATTCCATATGATGCTCAGTTGTTTACACTGTTGACCAGAAGAAGGCAACTTAATATTTCCTTTGTAAAACAGAAAGATAACTAAGAAGATATGGACCTTGAAGTAGTTTGTGAGTCATATGTAGTTTCATCTGATGATTATACCATGAACCATTTTTCCACATGTATATATTTATTTGTGTGAAAGAAAAAAAGTAACTTTAAAAAACAGAGTGCCTAGGAGGATACACTAAAACATTTAGAAAAGTGAAGAAGAAAGTAGAAGATTGGTATTAAATTTATAGTAAAATACTGATAAATATTAAATATTGAGGTAGAATTTTCTTCAGTATATAAGGATGTATCTATGGATATCTTCCATTTGTTAGAATTCTAACTTACAGAGAGAATTATAAATAATAATAAAATTTCTTCATTTTCTTGTTACAGTGACAATACTTTATGATTTACATGTTGGAATATGAAAGAGCATCGTATTATATTATGGAATGATTACCTTTTATGAAGAGGTATAAGTCTATTGAAGAGCAATCCCTAGAATTATGTGTAAAGAGTATTTTTATGTATCCCCTCTACTAATGCCCTATAGTGTTCACTATATAGAAATGTTTTTAGGAAAATAAAATTGCTTCATTTGTGACATGAAACATGGTATAACAAAGAGTGTTTATCCATCGCCTTCAGTTTGTTAGTTTCAATAATATATGTCAAATAAAGAAACACTGAAAAGCGTAAAACCTATACAAATATGCAACATAAATTAAAGAAAAAATGTTATAGATATGAATAATGACCAGAGAAGTAATCATGGCCAAGCACTATGCTGAAGTTCATTAAGAATAAGATAAAATCATCAATATCCATAAAATTAACAGTTCTCATGATTTTTCCCAGAAAAGATCATATTGAAATATATGAAATAAAATTATTTTATAATTATCAATCATATTAAGAGGAAAGATTGAGTGCAGAATTTTAGTCATCTGTATACTATTTCTTGAATTAAAAAATACCAGTCAGAGACAAACTTAACATTAAATATTTTCATACTAGAGAAAAGTGTATTTGGAATACTTTTAAAAAACAGAAATGAAATATGTTAACGTCCAAATAAAATGAAAATAGCAAAGCTAGCATGTTCTTGATAGGAACGGGCAAACAAAAGTAGCACTGCCTGGGGAATGAAATGACTGTGGGGATGTGTGTCATAATGCAAAGCAGGAGAGCCTTGCATGCAGCGAAAGCTAATACATCCAGGAATCAACAACCAAGACCTGTCAGACCTCCACTTGAAATTACTAAGCAGCTGTGCTTAAGATAGAATTTAAATTCCTTAGCATGGTGCACAGGACACTTCGTCCCGGGTCCTTGGTTTCTGGCTCCCCTCTCCAGAATGCCTTCCTATTAAGATTCAGTGCAGGTGTCTTCTCTTAATAGCTTTCCACGATCCTGGATCGTGTCTCTGCCAATTCACTGTGAGTGAGCATGCATCATTCTTATGAGGGCTTCACGGATAGCTCAGTCCCTTCCTAGGGCTAGGGAACAGAGCATATACTCTATAAACAGTTATCATATTAATGGATGAAAATGAAAAGAAGGGAAATCATATTTCTATGCAGTAGCTGGTTATACTGCCCAAAATAGTGCAAGAGTTTTTTAAATGCAAACCATATAGGGATAGCAATTTACTTGAATCTACCAGTTATTTAGAAATTATTTATCTCTTTCCAACACTTAATATTTTGTGGATAATTGATGACATTTTTGTTTTGAATATAAGTATTTTATGTACTTGGTATTAACCAATATCTTAAAATCCTATTTCTTTTAGAAAATTATTTTTAGTTTTTTAAGTTATTATATAATTACACTGTTTCATCATTCCCTTTGCTTCCTCCAAACACTCCCAAATGCCCCTCTTTGCTAGTTTTAAAATTCATGGCCCCTTTTGTTCACTAGTATTAAATACATGTATTTGTATCCTGCTAGTTGCCACCCAGCTACCCACCAAATAAAGCATCCTATGTTGTTTTCAGCAATAATGGTAATTGATATTCTGAAAGAGTGTTACATCGGTCTTATTCATACCAATATATAATTTTACAACATATTGATATCTTCAAATGGATAGAAAAAATTTTAAACTAAACAAAACAGAAAAATTTTTAAATTTTTATAAAAAGCCAATGGTTTATAAATACAATTGAATATAATGAAGTTAAAACTTCTTATGCAATGACAAATAACCGATAATTCTGCCTTTATTTTACAGATAATAACTGCCTAATACTACCATGCCAATGCTCAGAACACTTGAATATTTGTAATAGAATTTCCATAAGTGAATTCAACTTAAGTGATAGTTTTGACCTGAGTATTTTCTAAAAGCAGAAAAGTTCTTCATAAATAAGTTAGCAATTTCCATCTGATTTTTTTAAAGTATATTAATGGAACATAAATATAATTTGACTTTACATATATGAATAAGCTTAATTGTTTATGCATCTTGATACATAACCTATTAATTTGCTACCTAGTACTAAGACACTTAGATTAAATGTATTTATTTTATTTATTTTGGTTATGTGCATTGTTTGTTGGTCTTTTTGGGTTTTGTGCATGTGAGTGGAGTGCAAGTAGTGAATAGAAGCCCGCTTCCAGTCTCCTGGAGCTGGAGTTCCAGGCCATTGTGAATTGCCCAACATGAGTGCTGGAAACAGCACAGGGTCCTCTGCACGAACAGCACACTCTCTTAACTGCAGGGCCCTCTCCAGCCCTTAAACTTAATTCTCATATAATTTGGTTCTATGAGTGATTTGGATACTTTGAAATTGCTTCAAATGACACGAACTATTTTTCTAGACATAAAACAGGAATGGCTTGCTTTATTTGTGTGTGTTTGGGTCTGTGGATGGGTTGGAGAATAAAAACAATTTTGCTTGTTTATTTGATGTTTCATTGTGGTGGGGAGGGAAAACCCGATGTGGACTGTCATGGGAGGCTGTACAGAAATTAACTTTTTCAATTCACTTTTTAGTATCATTGCTTCTTTCCACATTTGTGTCTTATCTGAAAATAAGAGGTTCTCTTTTCTATGAAGCTGATCACTATTCTTTGTTTAAGGAAGAAAAAAAGTGAGCCCATTTCAAGAAAAACTGAAATTATTTTGTATAGACAGAGGGAAGGGGGGTATTTTAGGTCCCTTGGGATACAGTACAACAGTACACCTAATACAATTGAAACTTATATCTGGCATTCCTGAGGATAAAAATCAAAGCTTAGGTCACCATAACTTTTGTGAGGATTTTGTTCCTAGCTCATAAGTGACAGCCTCATTATTGTGTCCTTACACCTCCAGGAATTGGGAAGCTATCTCAGGTTTTTATTTTATTTTATTATTTTATTCTCAGTTTATTTTATATTATTTAATAAGAACACTCACTAATGCCACAGATGAAGGCCCCACTCTCTCAATCACATCTCAAAGTTGTAGATGTGTTAGGTATGTTTTCTAGGTTAAATAGATATATAGAATATGACATTTAAAATGTTTTGTTAATTTCAAGTTTTTCATGACAATGAGATACATCTGCTCCTTGCAGTATCAATTTACTTCAGAGAAGATAATAGGCATTGAAGAAACTCCTCATGGACTTTGCTTTTATTGTGGCAAGGTTAGACACTGGGCAAAGACACTGTTCTTGCCTTTGACTATAGACAATGTACTGTGCAGACTGGACATGCAGACACATAGGACAAAGACTGTTGAACTTTGCCAAAGCAAGGCAGGACAGTCTTTCAATTTCCCTGCCTCACAGAAGAGTCTGTAAAATATTCTGCAGGACACAGAGAAAAGCAACTGAAAATTTTGCAAATACCAGGCAGGACAGACAGTCCTTCAAATTTCCTGCTTCAATGAGAAGTCTGCTTGATACGCTAGGCCTGTAGGCTGAAGATGGATGCCCCAAGGTTGTAGAAGGAACTTCGGGTGACTGTCCAGACAGTCAGATATCTCTGTCATTTCTAGAGTTTTGGCAGTTTTTTGCAATGCACTTTTTGTTTACTCAAAGAATATTATCCTTCTGGAGTCTTTGATGGAATTGAAGACTGGGTAGATATAGTTGAAGTTTTCCTTGCTTATGACAGAGTGAATTAAGTATAAAACTTTAGATTCATGAAGATAGGATAGACAATGGAGTATTTTTTTTAATTTGCCAAACACAAATTAACTAGACTTCATTATATTGTGACTGTAATTTTTACTTCATAATTCTTCTTACCATGTAGATTCTTATTATGTTAAAGTTAAAACCTTTTTTTTTGTTGTTGTTTAGACAAAAAGGGGGAGATATTGGAGAATACTGTTTTAAGGTGTGTTACTTTTTTTTAATGTTGCATTTCTTTAGTTCAGTGAAGCTGTGTTACTGTGCCTGTCTAAAACACCTGATGGTCTAATAAAGAGCTGAACGGCCAATAGTGAGGCAGGAGAGAGAAATAGGCAGGGCTTGCAGGCAGAGAAGATAAATAGAAGGAGAAATCTAGGAGGAAAGAAGATGTAGTCAGAGAAGGAGGAAGACTCCAGGGGCCAGCCACCCAGCTACACAGCAAGCAACACAATAAGAGTAAGATTTACAGAAGTAAGAGAATGAGAAATGCCCAGAGGCAAAAGATAGACGTGATAATTTCAAGTTAAGAGAAGCTGGCAAGAAACAAGCCAAACTAAGGCTGGGCATTCATAAGTAATAATAAGCCTCTGTGTGTCATTTATTTGGGAGTTGAGAGGCAGCCCCCCACAAAGATTAAAAAAAGAAACAACATAGTATATTTTTTCTATTAATTTTTATGTTACAGTTATAATGAAAGAGTATTTCTATTACTTTTGAGAATGAGTGGGTTACTTCTGTCTCCTTTTAAAAATAAGTATGAGTACTTATTATAATATTCTCAGAGAAAATATGAATATGAAAATATTTGGCACAAACACTGAACATTTTATTTCTTGCAGATTCAGGCCATAATGGCCAGGCATGGACTGAAGTATAATCTAAAAGTGAAGTGCTGGAATTTATGTGTTTAAACAAGTCTTAGGAATCATTGAATTTGAGAACATTTATTGCTGTAATGTAAACGATGGCTGAAGTGGTGCTTAGAAAGCTTATTGCTTTTCTAAGTGAAGTGGAGTAAGCATTTCTTGTTTCAAGAAAGGCAGTCAGTAGCAATTCTCTGATATTTTCTTTTGTTTACAGATCTATCTTTGGAAAAAAACTTCATCCCAAGTCTTATAATATTTGAAACATTAAAGATAAAAACATTCACATTTTAATACCTGAAAATGTAAGGTATAGCTTGAATATATTTTTACATTTGTAATTTTCCGGACATTACCTATTTATAAATCTCAAAGACTATAACCTAAAACTTGTTTAAATAAGACAATATTAAATCAATACATTGTCCCCAGAATGATAAAATTTATTTGTCTTAAACTTTAAAATATGTATGTAGATATATTATTAATTTCTCTCTCTTTCTCTCTTTCTCTTTCTGTCTTTCTCTCTGTCTCTGTTTCTTTCGTGTGTGTGTGTGTGTGTGTGTGTGTGCGCTTGTGTGTGAACTGGAATATCTATGGCTGATAATTTAGGATAATTTAGGTATGAGTAAAAGTAGTTCATAAATTGATGTGGGAGTGTCTTCCTTAATCCCTCAATCACTTCCATCATATATATATATATATATATATATATATATATATATATATATATATATATATATATATATATATATATATATATATATATATATAACTCAGAATCTCTCATTGAAGTATGAGCTTGTCATTTTAGATAGGCTGGACAGTTAGAAAACCCACATCCTGGATCTACTTGTCTTTGTCTCCATTGCCCAGTGTAGCATTGGGAGCTACCACATTCAGCTTTTCAGACCCCCGAGCTTTGCCTTCCCTTGTTTCATAGTCTGTTTGTTTTATTTCAAGTTAATTATATATATATTTCTTTTTTTGAGGGGTTATGGGGCTTTAAAGTTAGTAGTGAGAATCCAAACTCAGGTCTCCATGCTTATGGCAGTGAGTACTTAACCCAATGAGTCATCTCCTGAAGCCTCTTAAAACATATATTCAATTTAAAGACATTTGGATAGATATTCAGAATACACTAGAAATTTAATATTTAAATATAAAATTATATTTCAAGATGCTCTAAAACTAACCCAAAGCAAATTAGGATTCTACAAACTTTTGCTTAAGTTATAGAGATGCCTGCTACTTTCAGACACAGACACAGTTGAGCCAAACTGAAGTTTTGTGACAGGAAAGTTTTTCATGTAGAGATTTTTGCATCCTACTTTCAAAATTGCTGGTATTTCAACCATGGCACATCAATAAATAAATTATCATAGATCCCTTGTGTTTGAACAACACCTCTGTTGCTTTGTAAGAAGCACACCATTTACATTCACCTCCTCACTCTCTCATTACTATTTCTTCAAAGTAGACCCCAATCCTCTTATTTAAGCTGAGCTCTTGTAGAGCTTAGAATATGTGGTTTGTGGTATGTTCAATGGGATCTGTTTGGGTTTCTTGGCAAATTAAGTGAGTTAGCTCATTGTTACTGACACCCACAGAACACAAGGACAGCACTGTTGCTCTGCCAAGGGACACAGAGACTCATCTCTGGATATATATTATGTCACAGAACATTTAGTCAGACTCAGAGCACAGATATATCATTAACCTCTTTCAAACAGATGAAAGACATAATTAGAAGTTTGGTAATCAATGTCTGATGATCAAAGAGCATATTAAACATCCTAACAACATCTTTGAGATGCTTATTCTTTTTAAACTAACCCAAATTCTCTGAAAAAGAAATCAGCATTATTCATTTTTTTTATATCTAACACAGACTTGATAATGAGCTTTATAGAAATGGCCTGCTATATGATGGCTAGTTAAAATCACTTACTGTTTTTATTAATAAAAAGTGTCCTCTATTGTAATGTAAATAAAACATTTAAATTATGAACAAATACTACATGATTATTAAAGTAACATTAAATTATGATTCCATACATTTTCAAGTTTGATCATAAATATAAATTACTTTTCATCCAAGTCTACAATTTCTTTTTCTCTCTCTCTATTTAGAAAACTATCACTTAAATCACATTTTACATTTGAGCTAGGATCAAGTAAAGACTATCTCAGGATGCAATAATCCATTTTTCCCTAATTTTGCACAACCCACAATCTATTAAGAAAGCAAATGGAAAAAGCACATACCTGTCATTTCCAAGACTTTAGGAAAAAATAGTTTCCAAAATTGGCATTGAGGAGCACGGAGCTTAGAGTTTATTCTTGGCTTCTCTATGTTCAAGGTTAGATATTTTTGTTCCGTACTTGTGAAGACAGGCCACATTGTGCTATTGCTCTGGGTTCCATTGGGATCTCTAGATATTCAAAAACACATTATAGATTTTATGAAATCATTCTTGGATAAAAATATTTTTCTCTTAAATTGATAATCAATTTCAAACAATAACTAAAAAAATCTGTGGCCATATTTTCATGATGGCAAGAATAATTGAACTGGGCTTTAAGGTTTCAAGCATGAATGAACATCATTTTTAGTTTCTTCAACCACATTATTAATGAAATCTATAGGAACTGAAATTCAGTGCATGCATTTATGTGTAACACAGAAAAATATTTTAATTTTTGCAAAATGTTTCTTTTTTTTTATTATTATTATTATTATTATTATTATTATTTTACAACACCATTCAGTTCAACATAATAGCCACAGAATCCCCTGTTCTCCCCCTCTCGCCCACCCCTCCCCCCAGCCCACCCCCCATTCCCACCTCCTCCAGATCAAGGTCTCCCCCGAGG